TAACCCCTATAACCCCTTCTGAGGGACCTATACCCTAAGCCCAAACTACCAAGACACCGCTGTGACGGCTTCAGTCACCACCAGAAGGAAAAGATCCTGCACTGAATTACTACCATTCGTCACACTATGCTTATTGCTATTCTTGCTATTCTTACTATTATCGTTATGACTGTTATTGCTACTATTGCTTTACCATGCTAACCATCATTGCTATCATGACGATTACGTCACACACTGAACAGTATTCTATTGGGTGCTGGGGTCAAAGGGAGCAAGCCTGGTTGAAGGTAAGGATTCCAAGAACAGCCTGGCAAGCCACAGGCTCGCCGGCAGCTGACCTCGGGTAGGCAAGTTACCAGGTGGTTCGTCTCCACACCCTACTCCCAAAATTTGAAACATGGTAACAATGCTATAATTGGTAGCAAGTCCTGTCACATCTTCTATTGCAGCCCAGTGGGCAAACTCACCAGCTTCTTCTTGAAGCCTTCGAGCGTGTCCTGTGCAACTGACGAGGTTGAAGATTGGCGGAGGCGAAGATTTTGAGTTGTCATGGGTGGTTGTCAAAATTATGGTCCCCGTTTGGGCACCCTAAATATTAGGGGCCGTATTATCATAGGGACCCAAAAAGGGACCATAATTTTGACAACCACCCTTATGACCTCTCAACCCGAAAATGGTACAACTTGGGCTTCTCCTGTCCTTGCCCTCTCTCGCTTCTCCCTTCTTGCAGGCAATTCCCAGAAACCTCTGCAACCGTACTCAGATTTCGCACATGCGCCCAGATCCATCCAGTGTTGTCTTTGCCCAGAACATGATATAGAAGGCAACACTTAGCAGCAGGTGTGGATGCATGCAGCGCAGCAGGCCGCTGGATGCAAACTGCAGAGGCCGCGGAGCTGTATCTCGGAGGAGCTTTGGCCTGCTAAGTCCTGGGCTCATGCGTCAGAGATATGTTGATACTGTACCTTGCAAAAAAGAAGGATTGAGCAGGGAGCCGGGTCTAAAGAGCTCCATACTGGAGCTTTTATTGCTCTGCTTTCCCAGTCTCTCGTTCAGTGCTCCCCTTTCTGCCTGCCCAACAGCTTGCCCCGCTGCCCTACCTTCTCGTGTGCGCAGCAGCCTCTTCTTGATCCAAGTCTTGCGCTTTCGTTGGGATCGTTGCCACCATATCTACCGTTTGGTTTTCCACGCTACGGTCTGGGCAACACCTGTTTTTCTGTCTGCCTGCTGCTTTTCTGCTTTCTTGGCGTCAGCCTCGCAACAAATCCGGTCGAACTAAGTATAAGGCACCAGAATGCAAAGAACTGCCCAAAACAAAATCCGCCAGAACTGCTCTGGGGTTCTTATGTTGTGGGTGCCGTATAGAGCACAGTCATTGCCAAGTCTCGGGGTCACGGATGATAATCAAGGACTTGGTCGTGTAAATCAGCCAGCGCTTTGCCCTCTGGCGGGCCCATTCCATGGCAAGACAATCGATCACAGCAGCTGAAGGACAACACTTGGTTGCTGCTGTTCTCACCACCCTTCCCCATCCTTCCTCTGATATTTGATCGATGACAAAAACAGGGATAACCTCTCTGCTGGTGCTTTGCTGAAAGTACTCAGCTTGCGGCAGCTCAAGGTGATTTGCAAGCAAGAAGGGAAAGAAAAGGGTGTGTCTTGTTAGGCCCTCCCCAAGGGGGCTGCTGGAGTTGCATGCTTCAGCAAGGCATTAAAAAGCTTGAGTCCCATGATTTCCATGCTGACATGCCATATCGCTGTCGTCCTCTTGTACTGTACCCCTGCTGTGTTTGGATGCCAACGTCCGCCGGTTTCAGAAAGAATGAAGTAGCAAGAAAGTTTGGAAGGATTGAAGGGATTTGAGATGCTAGGGATGCTAGGGATGCTAGGGATGCCGGACTGCGCGTGCTGGGCGTGAAGTCCTTCGTGCCGTACCTCTGGTGGGTTGCCTGGGCTGTCTTGCGAACAAGGCCCACGATGCATCACAGCCATTTGCAGTCGTGGGGCTGCACCCCAGCCTTTCCTTAGCAAAACGGGCTTCAAAACGGGCTTCGGCATTCCACACTTACAGGGCAAGATGCAAACGGCAAATTCTTTGGGCACTGGCAGGGGCCAGAGGTGCTTTCAGGAGGGGCAAGGGACGCACGCGCAATGCTGAACAGAAAGGCCTGGAGGAAGGGTAAAGGGGACAGTGGTGAGGATAATGGTCAGCGGTAAGGGAACAACAACAGTAAGTCATAACGGCGCAGCAGCTGATGCCAAGTAGTGTGAGGCAAGTGGCGACAGAAGAGGCGAGGCCCATTTGGCTAGGGTCAGGGCAATGGGAAGAGGTGGATTATAGGCGTGCTTACTTAAGGGGCACAGAAAGGCACAAACAGGTCTGGATGTACGAAAATCGCTCTCACTTCTTTCAGTCTTAGATGCCTTGAAAAGTGCTCTTCCAAAAAAGATGCGGGAATCTGCCAACTCACTTGCAGCTGCTGCACCGAAGATTCCATCCCATGTCATCTACACCCAGACCTCAAACCTTGAAAGCTCGAACAACCTTCGCTACGCACGCTACGCATTTGGGAAAAGAGCGCACAAATTTGCAGGTTCTAAACGAGAGCGGCATGCAGCTGGCCTCGGCGGAAGCTAAATTGATGCTAGCCCTGCTTTTGCGAAATGCAATCTGCAACTGCCTCTGAATCAATACCACTAAGAGCCCCAAGAGCCCCATGCCAATCAAAGACGGAGCGCTCTTCCGCGGTGAATCGAGCCGCATCCAGAAGTGCACGCGCCTCGTTTGGCGCTAGCAGGTCCTCAAACTCGACAACCTTGTGCGGGCCATCGATTTCGAGCGCGGGGCCCCGCAAACGGGGTCCATGACTATGGGCAACACAAAGGTCAGATGTCTGGGTCAAAGAGTGTGTGGTTGGATCTTGGCTTATGTATATTAGGCGAACGCTGGAGCAGATGCAAGCTTCAATTTCATTACAGGGGCCCTGGGGTGTTTAGTGCTACGGCTGATGCTTCCTACAGTTGTCTGAGACCTGTGGAGGCTTTCTTTGAGATCACTGCTTGACTCGCAGATTGGTCAGGCTTCTTGGCTGGAAGCCTGTTTTTGCTGACGCAGGAGAAGTAATGTGAAATTGAACGATACGTAGTGACACCTGCAACACCACCAACTGGCCCCTACCTCATCACCATTCATGATTGCAGTTGGTTAGGATGGCGTGAATCACTTAACTTTGTAAGCGACGACATGCTTTTCATGATGTCTATGTATAAACGTTAGACTTCCGGAGAAGCAAGCACCGGGTCCATCAAATCAGTACATCAAGACGCGCACAGCTTGCAGCATTGCAGGCCTTGGAGGTCTGAACTGAGTAATTGTAGGCTGGACCAGGTCCCAAACTTCACGGGCTAAGCTGTCCCAAATTCTCAGGGCAAACAACTTTGACCCTTTACTTAAAGCAGCTGATGCTGTGACAGTTTCTCTTTTTTGCAGGTGGGGCGCGGTATCCAAAATCAGATCGCAGTTGCATTTGTTCAACGTCAGCCTCTGCTGTGGGCATGATAGGGCTTCCAGTGCTTTCATGCCTGAATGCGTCAAACACTCAGATGCTCTGGCAAGCGGCATGTCCGAAGTGACCTCTGTCATCGGCCTGAGAGCATGCAAAGTGCTGCGCTCGGCATCTGGGCCGCGGACTGCCATCAGCCACCAGCGCAATTTCAAGTAGGGGCCAGGCGTCACCTGGTAAATTAACGTGTGCATCCAGTTTCGAAAAATGCCACAGCCCGCCTTCGGAGGAGCTTTGCGCCGCCGCCGAAGACGCTTGGGAGCTTCGTCAACCTCACCAAGTTTGACAGTTTTCATGAAGTTTGCACCAGCATCTTCGGACATGTGTTACGCCCCAACCTCGGCACGGCAGCTCAATCGACCACGCCGCAACTAGACGAGACGGACAACTTTGGCCAACGCAATCGTTACACCTCAGGCCCCGCCTGGCGGGCGACGGACAGGAGGGCGCAGCCGCTGCATGCAGCCAGCGCAGCCTGGTTCTGAAGATCCGAGAGGTCTGAGGTTTTACTCTGAGGTGTTACAGCTCTTGCACTGGCATCGTAATCCCTGTGCAACCAGGTAATCATCTAGACGGCCTTCGGCCCGTAGCCCATGCCACGTGGATCAAGATGCGGCTGGGCGCCTTCCAAAACACGTTGGGGCCCCTCCGAAAGCTCGACTGTAAACACCTGTAGCGTGTTCTGAGTCAGCTACAAAGGGCAACGGCAACGGCAACGGGCCTCTGCTCAGAGCCGGCGCTGTGGCCGCTGGTCTTGAGCCTCCAGGATTTTCTTCACGGGGCGGCTGGTTCGTAACCCCGGCAGTCACAAAGTTAAAAAACGGTTCCTCCTTTGTAGCAACTGACCACGACTGCAGATTTTAGCCAGATGGCTATCTCCCGGCCCATCTACATCCATACTCGGTACTGCATGCTCCAGAAAAGCTTTCAGACAGTGACAAAGCGCTATCAGTTGTGGCAGTGTTGCTGTCTGTCATTGCTGTCGAGGCAATTCTTACTGTTAGCTTCCGGTGCATTCCAAGCGTCTTTGCACGAAGCCATTGCTGCCACTCAACACGAGGAGCATGGCTACAACAGCGTTGCTGAAAGCCCCCTCTGCACAGCTGCGGGCAGGGAGAGTGCATTGGAGACCATTACGAATATGCTCCACCAGCAGCAGATTCATGAGAAGACAGGAAGGCAAGGAAAGGGATTGGCATAGCGTCTCTTTGCCAGGATCCTGATCTCATCTGCCTTCTACAGCAGAGGCCTTGTCGCAGCGCAGGTCTCCGTCGCTTGTGGGGAGCTGAATGCATGCAGAGAGGCAGCATCTGCCATGTGAGACGTGCTGAACCTTCATCCATAGCATCCAGGTGTACTGTACAAGATCTTGATGTCCTAGAAGCTGTCCAAGTTGTCCAAGATTGGTGATCATCTTCCAGTTCACGGCACCCAGGGTCACATCTTGATCTTCTTCGCCACGGATATGCCTCATATCTCGTCAGAGATGGCAGACCGTAAGATGCCAATCCTGGCAGCCACTAGCAAAGTCCTCCTTGCAGCCAAAGGTCAATGCTTAAAGGTTCGGGACTCCTCGGATCGCAGATGCCACAAGACACGGTCCACAGGATCTTTGGAGTGCCGGAAATCGTCCGCAGTCGTTGCATCCATGGAGTCCTGCAATTGAAAACTTTGGGGCCCGCCAGCCTGATCGTACATCTATCTGAAGTCCTTCAACTGCTGCTTCATGAACTGACAGTAATCCAGAATAGCGCGATTCAGTTCAGCATCGGCTTGGGTCCAGGACAGCCAGTCAGGTTTCCTCACTCTGAAGCTTGAGGTATTCATGAGTTCAGACAGATGCACTTGAATATGTCTTTGGCGCAAGCACGACCTATCGCTGGAGTTGCTGAATTTAAGAAGGCTGTATCAACAACGATCTTTGCCGGGAGTCGTGTACTTGTCCGGTGGCGGCCACTTGTTCAGCTCTCTCATGCGGTTCTTCAGCGCGGGGGAATACCAGCCGTTTGTGATGAACCAAGAGACGCGATAGCAGCGAACAAAGCTCCGCATTGGGTAGCCTGCGCCACTGTTTAAAGCAGTTATACTAGAAGCAAATATAAAAACCGTGATTGCAAAAAAAGCAATAATTCTGGCTTTGGCGACGATTGTCGTAATGTCGTAATGCGGACTAAGAGACGTCTACCAATAGTAATAGTAGTAGCAATGAAAATATTCATGAGGATAATCAAAATGATTGCGATAGGGTTGCTAGAGGGCGCAGCGCTTTCAATCTGCGCACTCCCTATGGGCGCCTTGCTCACTGAAGCGCATCTCAAAGGCTTCCAGTGAGGAGCAGTTATAGAGATCATATTCCTTGGTTCCCACTTGTAAATCTCCCTTGCCCTCTCCCCCTCTCTTTGACACAAACTCTCATCTTCCTGGATTTCCAAGATGAGAAGAGGATATGGGTTAGCCAATTCAGACTGTGAAGGGCTGAGAGCCTGACCTTTCTGCCCTTTGCATTCTTGTTTTCGGTCCAGCTTGGTGGCTGCGATACATTCCGCCCAATTCCAATGGGGTTCTCGCGAAAGCTGAAGCCATGCCTCCAAGGCTAAAAGCAATGCACATTGGCATGGTATCTGCAGTTCTCAAGCATCTGAATCGGTGTGCAAAGAGCACCTGGCAATCATCTCGCTGTTGGACAGGCGGCCAGGCCAAACAAAGATCTCTTCGCCCTTTGGCATGTCCCTGCGCGCGATCTGCACGACGACATCCTGCTCGCGTTTTCCTGGGTGACTGATGCAAAACAAGTAAACCCAGACTTGCAGCACATGAGAGTTTGTTAACATGAAGGCAGCGGCCATCTATGACAACCTCTTCTTGAAAGCTGATGGCCACACCGGCACTGGCATGCATGGCGACGTCCAACAGCTCCGTCAGTGGGAAGATGTACATGCCTGAGCTGAGAACGGTGAGAGAGGGGCGGAAGGCTAGCTCAAAAAAGACCGACTGCTGTTGCAGGCACGCGGATTACGTACATCACGCTGGTCCTGGTAAGGGTGGACGATTCGGCCATGCCGCATGATCACAGCCTCGCGCAGAGGTCTTAAGGCCAAACTCAGCTCTTTCCCTCTTTCCACGCCGAAGCACCAGCGCCCAGGCCGCTTCTGTCTCGGTAACGGGCTTCCTTAGATATGAAGATGCTAGGCCATGGCGCGGGAATCAAGAAAAAGATGCCTTCAAGCGTCTTCTTGAAGAAGGTCAGATTTGACGCGGTGTCCAGGATCAAGTGCTTTCTGAAAGACATCTCCTGCCCAAGGATGAGAGGCGGTGAGAGCGCATGTTTGCCAAAGCATGCTGCTAAGGCACCTCCATGGCATCCTCGACGGTGGTGCCAACAAGAACCCTCTGCTGCCTCAGTTATAGCACACTCGACACACGGTTCAAAACCTTTTTTGAAGGAGGACTCTCTGACGTGCCTCCAGCCTGCAGCCTCACCCGAGAAAGATTAGTTCCCCGAGCACCCAATTCTTACAAACCAGCAAAACTCTGTACCTCCACTCTGGCGGTTCAAAAACTAAACCCTATACGTGGCCTCCATTTTCTTTTCCCATTATGCCAGGATTATCCCTATATGACCCCTATATATTCACATCTCTATATATATATGTGTGCGTATACATACATATATATATATACTCTATATGATTCCTATATGTATATATCTATATATATATATCCACCTAGGCTATCATGACCCTGTTGAGGTTCTGGCCGATGCGTGAGCTGCAGTGCAAAGACCTGCGCGTCCTGTGTTGCGTCTAGCCTGCCGTAAAAGGAGGATACTATGGTTTAGGGTCTAGGGTGTAGGGTTTAGGGCTATGTAGTATATAGGGATGATAGAAGGAGGAGAACCATAAATAGGGATTATTTATCAACACTATGGTTGTGTGGGGATACTATTTGAGCCATCTTCTAAACTCCTAGCATCCCCCCTAATAACCTCAATAATACTCCCCCTATATAATCCCTCTGTAGGGAACTTAGACTACAGCTCATATAGGGGCCATATACAATCCGAGTACTACAACAATACAAGGAACGTATTTAAAGAACATTTTTTGGGATTTGGCTCCAAAGACTAGCTACAATTAGGTGGCTTTTCGCATGGGAAAAGTGACTAGAGTTGAGGAAATTTTCTGGGGAACCAATCCTGATAATAGAGATATTCAATACATTCCTATCCATTTTTAATCAAATTATAGAAGTCCAAGAGCCCCAGCGACTGCATTCTTATTCTTTTCTGATTGAGTTCCAGGAGCCCCAATCATTCTTTTAATCTGGCGCCCTCCATTCCTTATTCTGGCGGGGGGCGGGGGTCCCCCCAAATTAATGACGTGCGAGGATTAGGGATGGTCTACGAGGACTATATACAGGGGCGATAGATAGGGACTTTCTACAGGGTTAGGTATGGATGAAATGCGAGACCATATTCTCGGCAAGTTGGGTCTTGGGTGCAGTCTGGTAACCACTCTCGAAAGACAGACTGGAGATTGCGCTGCTCTGCAATGAGCGGATATGCTAAGCTGAGCAGGTGCGTGTAATCCTCGCCTTGGAGAGGCAAACGAATTACTCTGTCATTTTTGCACAGCACTTCTAAGGCTACCAGGGTGCTGGATATGTTGTAAACCTTTTCCAGCTTCCTGAGTCAAGCTCTTTCATGCTTTCCGTAATACTTAGCTGCACCATGAACATAGAATCCCATTACACGTGGGTAGTCTCCGATGTGCCCTCCAGAACACCCCTGTAAAAATGGGAGTTCCTCGAGGAGTTCTATGTCAGCAACTATCCACCTATAAACTACCCACCTGTGGATGGCTTCAACAGGACGGGCCAAGAGGCATCTGCTCGAAAAGGAAACCTAAGCAAATGGAGTGGCAAGAGTATCAAGAATGTGAATGCGCGTGAGTGTGGGTTCCCTTCCCTGTGTACGCGTTCTTGGCGTGCTCTACGAGTTTGACTAAGGGCCCTGAACCCTGGAGTTCTCATCTGACCCAATTAAGAGCCCATAAGTAGGACCCAGGAAACAGGCAGGGGCCCATATCGAAGGCTCATGCTTTAGGACCTTAGAATTTGGCTTTCGCACGATGGCTTAGACTTAGGCCAGTTTTGATGCGCACAGCGCACATGGTTTGCAGTTTCATGGCATTCTGGGCTGAACAGTCCCATGGCGTGGACTGGCCAGTTCTGAGCTTCTGCTTCTGGCAAGATGCCGCAGGGCGTGGAACACAGTTCAAAGTTCAAAGTTGAGGAGTTTGGCAATGACAACGAAGACATGGAACTTGTGAGCTCCTTCCGGAGCTTCTCTTCCCTCGCCGTCTCCAAAGTCAGGACTGCCTTCAGAAGTGCAGCTCTGGCGTGACTCGTATGTAAACCGCTGAAGTCGCTAGAGGTTGGGCAAGGCCCATTTTGAAGCAGTCAACAACATCCTGCTAGTCATCTCATCCACAGGATAGCAGCGCGTCCTGTCGGGGGATCTTCATGATGGCACGACCATAGAAGACATCGTCTGACAGAACCTCATCTGAGGGGAACTCGGTGACGGTTGAACCGCCGAGGCTGTCCTCTTTTTTCAATTCTTAAATTGCAGGAGTGCACTCATGCCTTGGGGCCTGTAGCGGATTTGTCACCATCTCACAGCACTGCCATGCTTAGGCTCACAATGGCAAACGTCTCCATTATACTGCATGGGTTCAGTGTAAGGCCTGTACCATTGCAGTCCTGTTTCTTGCTGATCGTCCGCCGAAGGCCTTCTCTTCGATGGTCTTCCGCCGAATGTTGAGCTGCAGGCCTTCCACAAAGTCCGTCACAGGGATGTTGTTGAGTGGTTTCACTGGCCTTCATCCCGCATGCTCTGCCAGAAGGCCTCGAGGCACAAGTAGCGAGAGGGGGCCATGTGCACAACGCAACAAGCAAACTGACAGCCTTCGTTTTGGAGTTTGTCGCCTGCTCTGATCTGCATGCCTTTCCAAGCTGTCGGAGAGTCGGAGAGGTGAGTGTTGCTGCGTGATGTGGCTAAGGCTGTAATACGAGTAGCGCCCATGCTTGCCCCACATTTCCAGCCACAACTCTGCGAGTGAATCTTGGCCGAGCCATGCTGTCCTTAATTAAACCTGCCGGGCCGCCCCTAGTGCAGCAATACGCCTTCCCCATGGATGCATAGATACGTGTCTGCTACCCTGGCAAAACTGCGAGAGATACGCCTCACTTCCTGCGGGACAGCTGTCGCCGCAATGGCCCAAAAGTGGCAGCACCAGCAGCGCAAGAAATCGCCATCTGGCTCGCATAGCTGCGGTTGGCAAGTGCCAAACTCGTGCGTCACTCTACAAGTCGCCTTTTTCTGGCACGGCCTGCGCCGAATTAATTCAGCTAGCATGCCGATGTTGGTTGCTGCTGTCTCTCTGTGCCTCATGGATGCTGTCTTCAAAGGTCAGCTGGGTCTCAGGGAAGCAAGATGCAAAGCATGAGGAATCAGCGGCACAGTGGGTACCGTGCTTGAGACCTAACTGTTTTCACAGCTTCGAAGCTCCTGGCGTCGCTCTGTCAACCCCTGGAATGCGCCCGGGGAAGCTCATTAGACCGTCCTCTGCCTCCAACACCTGTAAGCCAGGCACTCATGCTGCAAACTCCACTGGCGAGTGACAGAAGGCGCTTCACAGTTGTGCAGCCGATTTTCGTGAGTCTGCATTTCGAGGAAGACCCTGTGCTCCCAGCCCCCCCAAAAAAAAGCTTTGCGCAAGTCAGGCATCCAGCCCAGTTATCACAAAGCCCCACGTTCTTGTTCAGGTGTCCTCGTGCAAAGGACTGGAGGACTGGAACCAACCAGCCTGCCGGTAGAGCTGCTTCTTCAGACCTTCAAGGTTTGTGCTACAAGCATGGGGAAAGTAAGGCAGGGCCTGCGTAACAACATGTGGTGAATAGGCAACGTCACCTCTCAGAAGTTCCAGTTTTGTCTGATTTTGGCCATGGACTCGACTGTTGCTGGTCAATTTTCCTCCATGCGGAGCAGATTGGCTCAATCTCTTGCACACGACTATTTGCTCCAAGGTTGCAAGACCTAATTTTCCCTCCAACCTAGCCTGAAAGGATTGAAGCCTCAAAACCTGCTCCCGAGGTAAAGTCCACATGATTCCCCATGCGCCAAAACATGCTGTGCTTCTCCGATCGTGACAAGAGATTTCTTCAGCACATACTCCGCAGGAAACCCCCAACTGTTGGGCCCCAACTACTTTGAACCAAGCAGATACTTGACTGGAACCGACGTGGGCTTCATGTGAAAATGAATGACCCCTCCCTGGTAATTCCGCACTGTATCACAATTACTGCGATCTTTCAGCATCAGGAGATGAGGCTTAGGGGGCTCCTCTCAAACAGTGGGTCGCCTCCAAGAGCCGCGCGCGCAGGCCCGGCCCCTTTGGGCCGCAGCAAGGCCGCCAGCGCCTGGGCCCTGAGCCTGGCTGCAGCACTTATTTTTGAATCCCCGCTGCTATAGGGTGAGGCTTCAGCCAAGGCGCAGGACGTCATGCCTGGGCACTGCCTCGTCTACAACCCCTGCAGCCAACAGCTCCACGGCTGTCCAACGCCTGACATCATGTACTGAGACTTGGATGCGCCATGTCTGAGGTGAACAAAGCCTTGAGTTGAAAAGGATGACGTCGCGATGCAGGCTTCTTGGAAGCTTCGCCTTCGCTTAGTTCGGAGCCATTTCGAACTGCAAAGGAACCCATGCTTCTAATGACTGTCACGCTGGTGATGATCTGTTCCACGCTGTCTGCAGGCGGTTATGAGCAACAGGCGTGTGCGTGCACTCTGCCCACACCATGTGGAGTCAGGGATTCAAGCATTTCAGGAATAGAGCAACTACACCGCATGGTCTGGTGGTGGCAGAGTCTGATGATTTTCATGAAAGGATCCTAGGAAACGGTAATGGAAGGATGCTGGGGAACGTAAACAGGATGGAGTCTTTTGCTAAGCCAGAGAACGAGCAGTTTAGATAACAATGCAGGCCATCACGACACATCGCGAACATATTGTCTCTTTTGAAGGAAGGGAGGGGGCTGTCCGAAGTCCTGGAACAGAGGCACGCAAGTCGCTAGACATTCGTACTCCACTCTCCATGCACTGTGAGTACAAACGACAAGTGAATCTGCAACTGTGGCATTCTGTTTGCAGCAACATGCATGTCAATGTGCAATTTCGGGATGGGAGCGAGCAGCACCCATGGTTCATTGGAACTTGCTGGAGGAACGTCTGCAGGCCAGGGGATAGTTCAAAGACTTGAGGGGCAAGCTGCTGCCAATGAAAGCTAGCCAGCTCTTTAGCAGCTTTAGCACTTGAATACAATTGGAGGAGGCAATAGTTATGCAAAAGCGAAGCACAGTCCTTCGCACAACAACCACGAGAGGGCAGAGAGCAGTACGAGAGGAGAAGGAGGGGTAGGAGAAGGGGGGTTCGATACAACCACAGGAAAGTTCGATGCAAGAACTAGATGAGGGAGGTTGTAGCATCACCATGCAAGGCTGCAGAAGATGTGTAGTACGCAGCATGATGTTACTTGTACCATGAGCACAGTTCAGTGAACCCACCAGCCATGATGATGCTCATACCATGACCATGCAAGGATAGTGAGCAAATAGCTGGAGTAGAATGTTGTGGTGTAACCACCCGCATGATGTTATTCATGTCACGATCACACGAGGGGAGTGAACACGAGTACTGAGGGTCGATGGAGCAAGATGCAGAACGCCATTCGTGCCTGACCATGCAGGCGTAGTGAACACTACGAGGGGAGAAGGGAGGTTTGACGAAAGCACCCGCATGAATTGATTCATATCATGACCTTGCAAGAGTAGGGAATTCCAGAGTAAGACGGAGGTTCGATGCGCCCACTGGCATGGTGTGATTGTACTAAGTTACTATGACCGCGCGCTGGTACAGAACATTGCGGAGGGAGTGGGGAGGTCCCGACCACCAAAGTGATGGGATTCGTGCTACGTGCGTTCCATGCAACAAGCAGGCATGCTGTGATTCGTACGTGGAACATGCAATGGCAATGAAGGGGGGGCATGATGCCAAAACGCATGATGATATTCATGTGGTGACCATAAAATGGCTCGGAACACTACAAAGGAGCAAGGGAGGTTTGATGCAGCTACCTGGCAGGACTTGGCATCATGCTAGACGTACCATGGCCAAGCAAGATTGGTGCGCAGAGTCAGCGCAAGTAAGTCGGCGCCTTCAAAAAGCTCAGATTCCTGTTAAAATGTCAACCTCGACCCCCACCCCCACTCTATTAAAAAACTATAATTTGCTGCTTCCCAGGCCTTGTCTGCACCCTAACCCTGACAGCTAAAGCAGGAGACCACTCAAGCCTAGCTGGACCTAGCTTCCGCTAGCCGCTAGCGTTCATGGCTAGCGTTCATGACTTTGCAAGCTGGTTGCTAAGCAGCCGTACATACACAAACGGGAGCAACGTCAACGGGATCATCATCTGTCTGCGAGCTGCACAGGCACAGAAACCGATTTTTATCAGCTGCTGGCGAATGCTCAGGTCTGGTGCGCAGGAAGCTAAGGCGTGTAACTTCGTTATACGCCTGTGGCGTGAGGCCACGTGCTCGTGACAACGCACCAACTATAAGGGGCGACTATGCAACAAAGCTCTGCTGCAAGCTGCAAAAATTTATTCTCACAAGTGCAAGCTGCAAAAGTTTGTTCGCACAGGAAGTAGCTGCGCTTCTCATCTGAGAAGCTAACAGGATCTCACTTCCCTTCCAAATCCAACGAATCCGCAGTGGCTATCATCCCGAATTCGCCTCCCTCTGGATAAGGCAAGAAGCCATCTCTTGTTGAGTGCAATTTCAGACTTGAACGGGCTGACTGCAATTCGAGGTGAGACTGCTCTGAACTAATCCGCTACGCACCATGACATCACGGACATTCACCGGCGATGGTGGTAGGGATCTCTTGCTCGGCTGCGGCTTCAATATCTAAGCCCCAGACCCTACATTGCACACCCCTACTCTGGCTGATGAACAGTACTTGTTGACGTGACGCTGTGAGAGTCAAACAAAGCATTATCGCTCTATTTTGACGTGCCAGGGCCTGGAGACCTCTCGAGACACACGCGAGCAGATCGAAATCAGCACCAGTGCTAAAAATCATTGTTAAGCACGTTGCAGGTACGCAGGTTTGAAGTCCCATGAAACAAGCAGCACCAACGTTTTGCGCCTGCTTCCGAGATTCCAAACAAGATTGAGTAATGTATGATGATTGTGTGGCTCTGTCTGGGCCTTTCCATGAAGCCACTGGCAATATGACTTGCTTCGGCAAAGCATGTTGTTGTTGTGCACTTATTTGCCTAGGTATCAAGCTCCTCAACTGCCTAGGTGTACTACAAGATATGAAGCAGGCTGTCAAGCTGTACAAGCTGAGTCGTGACTGCTTTGGCACTTGAAGGGAGGGTATCGCACTAACATATACGGCCACGCGGGGGCGCAACGTGATGATCCGTTACACCCGTGGCAAGTCAATTTGAGGCAACCCTGCGCTGCACCTCCGCATGACAAACCTTCAAACTCAAATTGTTCCACGGAAGGTCAATAATCAACAGCAGCAGTGGAATCTCAACGGCACATGGTTCAAATCAAACCGTTCAGCTTACTCTCACGTCCTTGCTTGATCCCCTTTCATCACACTAGACTACTGGATGTCCAACCCCAACCCAGACCCTTCTTGCGTGTAGAGGAACCCCAATCACACAGATTCCGTGAAAATTGCAGCAAAATCGTCTGTACAGACTTTTCTGGAGTCTATGCACACTTCAGACGCCTTGCAGTCATCTCCAGCGATCAGGTCAATGGCAAGGCTTCCAGGCGATGAGGCCTCGAGATTCAGAAGCATCTCAATTATGTCTCCCTTGCTTCAGCTGACTAGTCTCATGGAGCTCAGGCGAGCGAGCTAGTCACAAGTCGCACCAGGAAAGGGACACATGCCAGCCTGCCTCATCGTCGCCGTGATTGTCGGCAAGCTGGTCTGCAGGTATCCACTGATGTCTAATTTCGTCCAGGACATCGGGGCTGCAACATAGGACCACGCTGGCAATTGTGCCGCCGACAAGGGCCTTGGCTTCCCGGCGCTGTCTGGAACGACCACACAACAAGATAGCACTGCATGCACACCTACGCCCAGCAACCAACCAAAGAGGCTTCAGCACAACGTCCTGCAGAAGGCTCATCGCAGTGCCTGCATAGAAGTGCAGGATCACTTGCCACAAAGATGCCTTGCAACGCGTGTGTGAGCCCAGAGAGATAATGTCATTCTAATAGCGGCTGTGCCGTGTCTCGTTCAGAAGCGGAAGACGTCACACCCGGCATTCTACGATGAGTCATTTAGTAGCGTAGCAAGCTCCCAAACTTCCCCGTCACTCGCAGATGACGCATATGAAGCCATTCTTGGCATAGGATTTCTTCGCGTGCGCTGGCAAAGTCGCAGTGCAATCGGAAGCTGACAGCTTAGCACGTCGAGGCTCACGCTCTTCAAGTTGAGGTCATTCCATATTCTACAGGTTTGCATGCAGTGGCACACCCCATCCTTCCGCTGGAACAGGGTTTTTGGGGGATGCATAACGGCAGAGCTTGAATGGCGGGGTCTCTAACATGCAAGACTGAATGCAAGCAAAGCTCACTCCATCCACTTGGCTCCATCCTCCTTGCTCACATTGGCTATGAAACCGAAGGTGTACACTGTCGAGGCGCTGAGATACATGAACCTGAGCTACAGGTACCGCGGCTCTAATTACGCAAGTAGAGCTGCCACTGCCAGCATGCACTGGATGCACTGAGCAAAGCCGAGCCGCCAAAGGAGCCAGAATAGGAAAGCTCTGCAGCGCCACCTCCGAAGCTGCCAAGCCTTTGCCTCCTTCGTCCACCTCTTGCGGACTAACACTGTGCGGCGCTGCACGACTGCCAAAAAAACAATCAGGAGGTCCCCCATGCAGGCGGACAAAAATCCAACAACGGCTACGCGCAACATACGCTGACCGAAGCTTTGCGGTAGTGCACATTCTTCGTCTGAGTCGGGCGTTGTGGAAGTGCTGATGAAGAAAAGAGCGTTGGTGGCAGCCGCCGACATCAGCTTGAGGACGATGAGCGCGGCCCGCACTGTGTGCGACTTGAACAAGCTCACGTACTGCAAGATGATCCATGGATGAATAGCTCGCATCAGCACCATAACCCGTCGGTACCAGGGACCGCTAAGAAACTCCTCCACTGCATCAGCTCTGGCCTTTAGGAGAACCACCGTGTCGTCAGCGTGCAGGCGACTCTCCTTGCACACGAACTTCTCCACGGTCACCGAAAAACCGTGGCTTTCCGATGTTCGCATGTGCCTGATATCGCCGAAAAGACACTTCAGTAATTTAGATTACACGGCTGCCCGCTTCCATGCCAGAGTCACCAGGGTCAATCTGGACTGAAACGGTTGGGCTTGCGCTGGAATCAGCAATACCAAAAAAAAAACACTTCTCAGTATGCCCATTCCAAGACGGCAGGCTAGGAACTCAACAAAAATCCTAAAACTGCCGAGTGACCATTGGCCAAAGTGCGTTTCTGCTGCGCGGATGCTCTTCCCGTCTGTGCAGCTATGGTAGGCGCAGACAGAGATGATGCAACGATTGACAGCCACCAC